GGGGGGGCGGCGCACCTCACCCAAGTTCTGCGTGCACGCCCTAATTCTGCCTGCGTGCCAGTGAGCAGACAGCGCTGCACCTGCCGCGCCATGTTGATGTGGGCTCTTGGGAGCTGCCCATTGAGGTTGTTGCATTCTGCAGTTGGCGAGTTGGGTATTCGCTGTAGGTGATACCACAGCAGCGCCAGCCGAAGCGTGCAGAGCCTTTTGTTTGCAATTACAGCGCGACTCAATGAACGTTTGTAAGCAGGAAGCGGATAGCTTGTGCAGGTGTGCATCGTGGGAGCGGGGGCGGCTGTCGCCCGCCGCAGTTGGTTAGTGGCTGGCTGATGCGCTTGCCCCAGGCGCTTGCCCCAGGCGGCAAGCGATAGGTATTTCGGAACCGTCACAGGATTGCGCAGTGCAGGTGCAGACGGCGACGAGCGTGGCTCGAACCCTCCACGCCTGCATGCGCAGCGTCTGCGCGATCCAGCCCGCTCGCACAACTGTGAACCAGGGACACCCTGCAGTCCGCGAATGCCATGCCGCCCTGGGCTGCTGAAATCAACGAAGCGCTGATACGCGCTGCAGATTGAACCCGCGATTGGTGCACTTGGGGGCCCTTGATGCCAAAAGGATGCCTGTAAATGATGCGAGTGTGGGGTGAGTGTGGCGCGAAAACCGCATAGCTAGAAGCAACACGATGTTGTCGACGTACCGAAACTGTTCTACACACCTCAGCTAGACCCTGCGCACTATTTGGCACCCTGACTAGCCCGCCTGTGTCGAACCCCCCAGCAGCCGTTGGACCCCGCTCGCACAGCTGCCTTTGCTGCCTACAGGATGAACAAAGCCTGTTTTGACTGTTCGTGTGCTGCCGAGCGCCGTTGTTGAGGCATCGCCTAGTGGATCTCCGCCCAGTGGCACCCCCACTGACCAGTTCCAGCCTCGCCAGCAGCGAACTTAGTCGCATTCAAAGGGCTAAATTAATAGTTTCTTAGACATGGCGCTATCGGGGCAGCTGCGATGTGCTGCGCGCCCGGCGCACCCCACATGCATCAGCGGTGCGAGCATCTGCAGCACCGGCGCCGCGGCGCGCCCCCTGCGGCCGCGGGCCCGTCTCGCGCCGGCCCCGCGCGTCGCGGCAGACCCGGACCACGCGCAGCCATTCCAGCCCATTGGCCTCTCTGCGCAGCAGCGGCTGCAGATCCCCGCGTTTGACGGCACCGATTTGCCCGCCGGCAGCACCTTCTCGTCCTACTCATCGTTCGAGGACGCCCCCGTTGAGCTCGACCTCGACGCCGAGGTGTCGATCGAGGCCGAGGTTGCGCGGCTGGAGGCGCTGCTCTGCCGGCTGCGCGCCTGCGCCGACATGGAGGCCAAGGTGGGTCTCGTGGCGGTCACAGCACCTGGGACACATGTCCTCAATTACGGGCGGGCACTTCTTCCGCGAACGAGTCACTTGTGATTTCGGCGCGGTCGCCGCTAGGGCACTGCCACGACCGCCGCCGCCGGGCTGCCCGAACAATGCCGCGCGCGACGAACACCGCCCGCCGCTACCGCGCGCAGCTGGCGCTCCTGGACGCGCATCCGAGCGTCAGGCAGATGCGCGCCCACCCGGGGTGAGCAGCGCGCGGCGCCTGGGCAGCAGAAGAGGTCGTGCTAGCGGAGGTGGTATTTGGGCCGCAGCGGCGGTGCTGCCGCTGCCGCCCACAATGCTGTGTTGTAGCTGAGAGAGGAAGCTGCGAGCCATGGGAGGGGCACACAGCAGCATGGTCCAGCGAGCTCCGCCCTTAGGGCACCGCTGTTGCAGCATCACAGCGGCCCTTTGACAATAGATCCTGCCTCCGTTTGCGCCCCTGACCCCGGCAGCCTGGCGCCGCTGTGGGAGGCGCTGTCCCGCCTGACTCCCGACCAGCAGTACGCCATCAAGTGCCTCCCCGCCATCGGGCAGCGGCACCTGCTCCTGCTGGCACCCACGGGTGAGTCGGCGCAGCAACACAGGAGGGCGGCTAGCGTGCGCACGACAGCTCCTGGGCTTTGCCATGTGGACAAGCCGCTTGAATGTTGTTGGCTTGTCAGAGGGGAAGCGCTGCGCAGCTGGCAGTGCACCGTGTGGAGCTGCAATCTGAGGCACAACAACCAACCCCAACACGTGCTCCCGCCCCACTCCGCTCCCTCGCGCGCCCGCCACGACCTCCATAGACGGCCAGTGGTCAGCGCCCCTGAAGCGCCTGGCGGCCGCGCTCACGCGTGTGGAGACCTTTTACGATTCAATGGGCGGCCTGGTCGGGTACCAGTTGAAGAGCCTGCAGCTCATCCTGGCCAACAGCAGCGGCGACGGCAGCGAATGCGGCGGCGGCGCGCTGGAGGCGTGCGAGGGGGTGCCTGAGCATGCACCCGGCGAGGCGCAGGTGGGCTTGGGAGTGGGTTGTGCAGCAAAGGGCGTTGAGCACTGTCCGCACTTGCTGAGTCGACGCTTGCGCCCATTTCTCTTGTCGCAAGCTCTTGCAGTACGTCTTCGCGTGCGCATGCGCGCGCGCGCGCGCACACACACACACACACACACGCACGCGCGTGCGCATGCACGCACGCGCGCATGTGCAAGCACGCCCGCAAGACACACATGTGTACACATTTGCACACACAACACAAACTCGCTATACAACGCAAACACAGACGCGCTTCCACGTGCCGCCTGCCCTGGACCTGGCCGGAGAGGCGGGGCGCCGCGTGGGCGTGCGTGCCGCCGCTCATGGCATCCTGGCGCTGCCTTTCATGGCAGAGATCCTGCCAGTTGGAGGTGCGCCCTTGTGTCCCCTCGATCCCAACCCCTTGTCGCCCCCTTGGGTCGCTGCTTTTGACCGGCGTGTGCGGCGCGTGCCCCGTCTCCTCATGCCATTTCAGCAGAGGCTGGCGTGTGGGTTCCTCGCCATGCATTCTTGCAGGGATTTCAGCCCCCCCGCCATGCCACCCCTCTGGCCCCTGCACGAGGGACCCTGCGCCTCTCCACCCCTCCTCCCTTGAGCTAGCTGTGCTGACCGCGGCCCGACTTGACCCCCATCTTGCTCTCCCACCCCGTTTCCTTGGGGGCACAGGCGCCGGTGACCGCCTGGGCCTGAAGTGTGACGTCACCGGCGACAGCCTGCCGGCGGCGGTGCTGCCCTACACGGGGCGCCCCATGCTGGAGCTGCTCATCCGCGACCTGCAGGTGGGCGCGCCGCAAACAAGGCTCGAAGACCTGAAACAATAGCGAGTGCTGACGAGCATGTTGGGGGCGGCCGGGCCGGGGGCAGGGGAGCCCAGGGTTGACGCGTGGGGCGGGCAGCTGCGGCGGCGCTTGCGGTGCTGGCCACGTTCACGCTTGACCTGGGCTCGCGCCCAGCGGGCGGCGTCCTTGCAGAGTCAACGGCTGCGCCACTCATTTGCTGCCTGGGAGCTGCCCTGGTAGTGTGCCACGCTGACTTGGCGCCAACCGCCCGCCAGCAAACAAAATGACAAGTTCCCCAACCACCCTGGATGTCCGTCCTCTCCCAGGCGCGTGAGTACCTCTACTGGCAGCTGACCGGGCGCCAGGTCACCACCCCCGTGGCCGTCATGACGAGCGACGCCAAGGGCAACCACGCGCGCATCACGGCGCTGCTGGAGCGCAATGGCTGGTTCGGGCGCGACCCCTCCAGCTTCCGGCTCTTCAGGTGAGCGGGTGATAGGCTGATAGCAGCAGTAGCGTCCAGAGGTGTGCCAGCTGAAGGCTGAGGGGCGTGGTGTTGCCTGTGTTGGGGACATGTGGTTGGCAAACACATTGCTTCTCAACCTGATGGGTCATCGGGACCCCCGGTGAAAAGACATCGAGCACACATGTATGTCGCGCCACCATGACGTCACTTTTCGGTGCCATTGGTCGTGTTTTTCTCCAACGTGCTTGATGATGGCTCGCCGCGGTGCCTTTTACGCCGTGCCACCAGACCCCACGCCCTTTTGTGGGCCTCTGCGTGGCCAGGGGGGTCCCATCACCCCTCCCCCCACCACGGCCTCAGACCAACGCCCCCTCTGCCCTTCGACCCGAACCCTGCAGGCAGCCCCTCGTGCCCGTGATCAGCAGCGAGGACGGGCGGTGGCTCATGACCGCCCCCTGCAAGGTGCGCCCGCGCGGGAGGGGTGCGCGCCACACTCGTTCGATCCCAGCCGACGCCAACATCAGTGCTGGCGACCCGCTGGCTTGGGCGTACCTGTCGCAAGCGCGGAACGAGGAGCTAATCATGCTTTGTTCCACACACGTCACGCACACGCATATTGCACACCCCTTCTACCTCTGTTTGACCGGTGTTTGAACGCCCTTTCTGGACGCCTTCTCTCAGGCGATGATGAAGCCGGGCGGCCACGGCGCGATCTGGAAGCTGATGCACGACGAGGGCGTGTTTGACTGGCTGCGCGCGTCAGGTGGGCGGGGGCCCGAGGATTGCGGCGGCCCGATGCGACAAGAAGCAAGGACGGCCACTCACGCACATGGTGCCATCACTCTGCGTGGTATTCAGAGGCGTGAGCAAACGGCAGCGACCACACTGCACAACAGAGGTTCCATCCCACCCCCGGCGTCGCATCCCACCCTGCCAGCGCCCCGCCTTGGCCCCTGATTGACCCGCCGCGCCACCCAATCGCCCCCAACCGCCGCCAGGCCGCGAGGCCGCGCTCGTGCGCCAGATCAGCAACCCCATGGCGGGCGTGGACACCACCCTGCTAGCCCTGGCCGGCACCGGCTACATCCAGCGCCGCGCGTTCGGCTTCATGTCGTGCGAGAGGGTGGTAGGCGCGGCGGAGGGCATGAACGTGCTGCAGGAGAAGCGCGTGTGGGCGCCCGACGGCCGGGTGCGTTCCTGGGAAGCTGCCAGGAAGCTACTGAGGTTGGGGCTTGCTGGGGTTGGTGGTGTGGGTTACGATGTGACCTGCCCGCGCCTGCTACATATCCGTGGTTGCGACCACGGGGTCTTGTCTTTCCAGCTACCCTGTACGTCCCTATGCAGCAACCCTCGTCGACCTGCCCACCGCCTGTGGGACCCTGGGAGGGCCTCTACCCCCCACTCGACTGTCCAACACCCGCCCCTCGACCCCGCCAAACGCCCCTCCCCTACTTGTGAACCGCAGGGCGGCGGCCGCTGGCGCTACGACTACGCGATTACTAACGTCGAGTACACCGAATTCGAGCGCCTGGGCATCCAAGACGTGGCTGTGGACGAGGCCTCAAACCACAGCGTGTTCCCCGCCAACACCAACATCCTGTACGTGGGCCTTGACGCGGCGCGCGCCAAGGTGGAGGCGGCGGTGGCGGCGGGCGGCGGGGACGTGCTGCCGGGGCTGATCTTCAACATGAAGAAGAAGGTGCGGGGAAGCTGGGGCAGCTGGGGGAGGGACGGGGTGGTCCTGGTGGGTTTGGTGAGGGCAGCTGCGGACGGAGGCGTGGTGGTAGGGGAGTGTGCTGCGGCTGCTGTGTGACTGGGTCCAGACCTCAAGGCGGTGCCTACCTCTCCTCCCCCCCCCTACGAGGTCACTTGCCTCCTTTCACATATCACATGCACCGCAACTGAGCTGATATTTGAGTCTTGCGCGCAGCCCGTCGCACGCACGCATTCCCACACGCACACACACATACACACACACACACCAACAGGTCAAGTACTTTGACCCGCTCCACAATGCGGAGCGCGCCGTCTACGCCGGCCGCATGGAGTGCACCATGCAAAACCTGGCAGACTCCATGACCACCACGCTCGACGGCCCCCTGCCTACGCCGCCCGACGGCGCCGCCGCCGCCGGCGACGGCTTGGCGGACGCCCTGAACAACGGCGGCGGCGCGGGGGCCGGCGGCGGCATGGGCGCTGACCTGGCGGAGGGGCTGGACACATTCCTGGTCTACAACATGCGCCGCAAGGTGCGTCGGGAGGGGGAAATGATGATGGCAAATGATGCGCGCGGCCGCATCTCGCGCTTTGTGCAGATGCATGTGTGATCTAGCATCTCGGGTGGCACCGCTGGGAAGCCCTGCTCGCCTGCCGCCGATTCAGGGGGGGGGTCGTTCGGATCCAGCAGGGGAGGCAAAAAACCTTCATTGGGGCGAAATGCGGCGCACGTGGAGGCCCGCCTGACGCTGATGCCATCGACTATCGACTCCCCTGCACTGCCCAATTCGAATCCGTTTGAAAAGGTGACGTCGTCGGCCAAGAAGCGCCGCGAGCCCGGCAGCACGCGCATCCATCAGACGCCGGACGGGTCCTTCTACGACCTCATGCGCAACGGGTGGCAGGTGCTGCAGCGCTGCGGCATGCGATACGTGCCAGAGGTGAGATTCTGAGGGCAGGCGGTGCGCGTGAGGGCGGGCACGAGGGTGTGCACTTGCTTACCTGTGTAAGGGAGTTTGTGTGGTGCGCGCGCGCGCGCGTGTTTGTGTGTGTGTGGGGGGGGGGCATGTGTGTGCGTAAGCGCATCCACCTGTCCACGGCAATTTCTGGGGTGTGCAAACAGGCGGGGCGACCTGTTGGCGCGAGGCGCGCTGACCTTTGTGCTGTTGGCTTTTCCGTCAATAGAAGGCCCTCGTGGGGCAGACGGCTTGGTGGTAGGGCCCATGTGCTTGCCTGCTCGCGAGCAGCGAGGCACGCAAGCACACGGGCCCTCCACCCCAGCACCCACCACAACCTCTGCCGCAGCGCGCCAAACATCGCGCCCCCGTCCTCCCCCCTTTCGACCCGTCCCACCCTCAGCCCTCCTCCCACTCCTACTCGCACACCCCCCCTCCTCACTCTCCCTC